CCAATAAAAACATAAATAGTACAGCATAAAATACAGTTATTAAATATGATAAAATCCAAGCAATGGTGATACTATGTTCATTAAAAGCTAGCTCACAGGAAGTGTGGTGTGCAACTTTTATTCTGATAAAGAAAAGTATTGGATAGCAAAAGGTCCTGAAACATATTCACAGCTTTGTCTCTGGGGCCCTCAAAAAATAGAACTCTTGCTCCAATAATTTATGTCTGATGCAATTGGTTGGCAAATGTTGCTAAAAATACATACGGCGAGTAGGAGATAACAGCTGAAAGCGACTCGGTAGTTAAAGCCCATGTGGTTCTTTGCAAGTACTGTTGTTGAATATATGGTGATTATCTCTTGGAAATCTGGTGAAGTCCGCCAGGTAAGCCAGGACGCTTCTGCTGGTTTGGGTTCTGTTAGAAGAAGCGTACTGGCGGCATTGCGCGTGCTCCGTTGGCTGCTCATAAAATTCTGTGAAAAGGGCCCTCCCTACTGTGTGCGTACTTTCAGGATAGGAAGTTTCCCTGAGATGTCTTCTGCTAAGTCTGTCCCAACCTTTGAACGAACAGAGTGGGGAAGGAGAATCCTGCGGCCCATCAGCTTCTGGCAGCAGATTGGATGCTAATGCTGGTTTGTGGCTTAGCCTTTCTATAAACATACGTAGCTGCTTAGGTCCATTTAATGCATACACTGTCATAAGAGAGGTGAAAGCAGCTGTTGAGAAAGGAATTGTAGAAGAAAGGCAGTGGGTGAGAGAGTATGGATATGAAAGCTTATAGCATAATAATGGCTGTGTTAATCTGGTAGTGGTGGTTCTTTTTACTTCAGCTGCTGATTCTATTTGTGCTGTTTGTATATTGCTCTGTGCTTGTGTATAGTTTTTAAATGTAACTAGCCACCCAAGATCATGAATTTGAACCAGGTGGCCATATAATTTGAATGAATAAATAGTGTGGCGTTTTAGCTACCACAAGGTTTTGTGTTGTTTTTGCAGTTTCTATAGAACTTCGTTTTCAAGAAGGAGTACCCTGGCAGACAGAAGGGAAATGAGTTACCATTTGTTAGTAGAGAGACCTCATTGCCTTGGAAGATTCCTAGAATTCTATTTAATCTATTTAACAGTATGACTTTGCTGTTTGTGATTTATAAGTGAATTGTTTGAAGTAAAGTTTTGTTGTGCTACCTGCTACATTTGTATCTTCTCATTTGGTAGACAGTCCATCTAACAAATTATCTTATACTGGGAAGACTTGGGGTGATTGACGGATATGCTACACTCTAGAAGTCTGAAAAAATATGTATGGGAGTTAATTGAAGGATTATCTAAGATATTGGCTTCCAAACTACTATCTCTGGATATAGATAAATAGAAGGCTGCGTGTGCTTCTTTTGAATCATTTTCAAGATGTGTGCACAACCCCAATAGTCATGGATAGAGAAACTCCAGGCTATGTAGCCTCAGTTGCTCTTCCTGCCATCTGCTGTGTCCTCTCTGTCTTTTCTTGGTGCCAGTTGATGTATTCTGATGGGCAGCAAAGAACAGATCATTAATTTATTTCTCACAAAGAACACAAAGCTTTCTAGTGTGGGGAGATGCTTCAGGGTAGGAATAAATTGTGGTATATTATAGTTTATTGTCCTTGATATAGCCCCGAATAACAAAATATCTGAACCTAGAATAGGTAGTGATAAGAAATGGAATGTTGGTAATTTTAGCAAATTTTGGGATAAGTAGACAAGGTTTGCAGGTGGGACAGAGAAAATTTTCCATTTTCTGCTAAAGGCAACTAGCGCGTTTAAGGTACAGTGATATGCCACTGTCAAAAATCTGTGATTTGAATATGGAGATGTGGGGGACTTGCTTGTTTGCTTCATTATAATTTAAATTCAGATTGATGGGGTGTGCTTTTTCTTTTGCAGGCCTCCTTTTGGATAACCAATGAGTATCACCAGTGATGATGTCAGAAATTAAACCAACCATTTCCTGTCCATTCCAGTTTTCACAAACTTGTATGATGCAAAGACTACAATTCAACATCCAAAAAACATTGCTTTTAAAACTGTCTAGATGATTGTTGTTGCCTTGGTTGTACTCTATGCAAGCAGAAACCTTTTCCAAGGTTTACGGCTGACCTTTGAACAGCGTATTCCCTGTTTGCTACAAACCTTGGGAGTTAGCAGCATGGGCAATTCCTGTGTTTGTCGAGAAGACAGTGGTGCAGATGAGAGTACAGAATCCAGGAATCACCAGGCTGAGAACAGCAGAATGCCTGTACCTGAAACAAGGAGCCATCAGAGGGACCCAGTACGGCCCCCCCGGCGGGGGCGGGGGCCACATGAACCCAGGAGGAAAAAACATAATGTTGATGTGTTAGTACTTGACACACTGGCAGTAATTCGGACACTAGTAGACAAGTAAGTACCTCTGGAGAGCAGTGAGGCAGTAAATGAATCTGACTTCTCCTATAGGTTCCTCAATTGCTGTCTGAGAAGACCCTAATTTTCCATCAGAGAGCTGCAGCTGTAGACTTAACAGGGGTAAAAATGGGTGAGTTTGTGGCTTCTATAAGCCACATTTTCAGGATGTTGATAGTGAATCACCATATGATAACATTGGAAAATACCTGTTAAGAAGATAGTTTGGGGGAGAGGCACTTATCTGAACCTTGTCTCTGGTATTTGAGGTTATCAGATTTGGAAATTTCCGCTAACTTTCAAGAAAGATTGCATGAATTAGATGCTAGATCAGCCACTTTCAGTCATGCTGATTGGAGAGTTTTGGGAACTGTAATCCAGTGGTTTGGGGAAGCTGTGCGGGTTTCTTTTGGTTCACCTTTATTTTTGAATACTTCCTGAATAATAACTTTTGTATTAATCTTGTAGCCCAACACAACCTGCTATGGGTTCTGCTATGTAGCCTTTCATCAGTCAAGGGTGGCATAACTAAATTGTGAAGAATTAGTACAATATAAAAGTTATTAACAAGCATTAATCACACACATAAGATGTAGTGAAGGAGGCTAAAGCTGGTTCTATTGTCTTTGAAAGCACACATATATTTTTGGCAGAGGAAAGAATGTATAGTACTAATACTTTTAAATGCTCCTGGGATCATTGGTTGATGAAGGATCTCCATAAGCCACATTTTCAGGATGTTGATAGTGAATCACTAGATGATAACATTGGAAAATGCCTGTTAAGAAGCTGTTGCCCACCAGCCTGCTTGCCTGGAACATGGTTTCAGCAGTGTAAGCAAGTGTTTCTGGATTCCTGCCTCTTCCCACATCATGATCATGTGAGATCCTCACTTAACAACCCGCATGTTCCTCACTTAACAATGGCAATGGGGACTCCCATTGCTAAGTGATGTGGTCATGTGACATTGCTCTTTGCAACCACATTGCTTAGCGAGGGAAATTCCGGTCCAAACTATCGTCGTTACCTGAGGACTACCTGTACATTAAATTACATAATTGTTACAACTTTATATAGCTGTTGGGAAAGATGATTGTAGGGAAAGGAGTGGGTGATCCAAGTTGTAGTCTAGATTAATGGAATTAAGAAGAAAACAGTCCTGAATACATGTTGTGACAGAATACCCTTATTGTAGGACTGTATCAGGTTCTCTTCATTGTGTTTTAATTGGATTCAGTACCACTGCTAAATTATTTCATTGTCCTGTTAGCTTACTTGCAGTTGGGAGTCTTTAAAATTTCTTAATGTTTAGTTTCAGGAAAGCATACACTGTATTTGTTTGGTTTTGCTTATTAATAAATACATAGATGTATCTGTACATTTCCAGAGCCCTTTAAATAAATCTTACTAGACTGTTATGATTTATTTTCTAGGAATGAATGTGAGCACAGAGGGGGTTGGGATAGCAGACAGAAGAGGGGAGGCATATCACAACAAGCAGAATGTTGGAATGAGCAGTGTGATCACTCCTTCAAACTGCATGAGTTTTACATATTGTGGTCAAGAAAGAAATCTTATCTTGCAAGTCATGTATGCTTACAGTCTTGTTTTGTCCTTAAAATCCAAATGTTTCTTTTGTTAAAAACATTGCTCCTTTTGCCAGTTTTGATTATCTTTCTTGTATCTTAAACTCAACAAGAGTATTGACAATTTCCTTCCAAGCTTCCAGTTTCATTATATAGGATATTTTTGCTGCTGTCAAAAGCTCTCATAACTCCTTAGATGATCATTCTTTATCATCCATTCTGGATCTCTTGTACCTTTTCTGGCAAGGGACAGAGCATCTTTTGGTCCCTGGGCATGTTTTGAAGGCATATGATGTTGTAACTTCAATGAATCTAAAATGATCATGCTGGCTGTTATTAGTATAAGGATGTAAGACAGCCAGGCGATCCTGTGTCTCCTTTGAGTTTTATAATTAAAGACAGGCAGAATATCAGTGTCATACCAAACACTTGCTTGCATTGAATTTCTCTGGTGCTCTTCATACAGTCCCTTCATTGGGCTAATTAGTTCTGTTCCTATTTCTATCAGCCTTTTGTTGAAGAAAAAATGAGTCTCCCACTTTTCACAAAATTGTACTGAGCCATCTTTTTGCACATCCTTGGGTAAACAACTATAATAGCTATTCTGGTTTCTCCAGCAATAGCTTGAATGGCAAATCATCTCACTTGGCTCCGATTCTTCTTCCATGGAATCAAATGTCCAGGAGGTTGCCCCGTTTTTATCCTCCAAACAATCCTATCAAGTCAGCTCTGTTAAAGACTAGCAGTTGAACTGTGTTGTCTATTAGATTTCCTCACTGAGTGGAGTTCTGAAACCAGATAACCCTGCTCAGGTCCTGCACTTAAGTTCTTTTGTAAGCTAGTAGTAGAAGTCCTCCATATAGCCACTGAGAAACATAGTGTGATTTGTAGAACTTGTTATGGAACGTGTTACGCAGCTGTGGATTGCTTGCCGCATAAATGCCACTGAGTTATATGTGAGGTAAATGCAAAATAATTCTGTGATTTATCCTGCAACCCTCCAAGGTGACAAAGGATTTCAGGCATTAGGCTTTTCTTCCTTCTGTGGTCGTCTTCATCATCCAGCCTTTCTCACCATCCATCCACATGGATGCCACGATCTGTCAGTGTTTATGTAGTGGTTGCACTTAAGCCCTAATGCAAGGTCATGAGGATTCTCTTGTTTTGGGAATGTAAGGCTTAGCCTGGCCTGCTGTACATCTGTCCTTTTGTAAAAATGTTTGTATATTCTGAGTCAGCCCAAAAGTAATATAAATGCCACATTGGTGTGCTGCATAGTTTCATTTTCCTAAAAGAACGGAATTATTGCAATGATTTTTCAGTTGCTGATTGTTATTAGACGCTCATCTGTGGGAGCATATTATATCTCTCCAAGCATAGTTCAGTGTGTTATTAGTTTGCCTTTAAAACTCTAAGTTGCTTGGGGCCAGGATAACTAAACAAATACCCCTTCCCAAACCAGGTTCTTCTCTCTGTGTGAAACAAGCACCACAAATCTCTCTGGGTTAGTCAGAAGTAAAGTTTTATTGGAAATGTTTGCAAAGGCTGGTGGA